ATCTGTGGACCGAGTATGAAATTGTACATATGGATGAATCCTTGACAGCTTGTTGTGACCCATGAAGAGTCACTTTGATAGAAGGAAGATTATGCTTTCTTTTGATGCATCTGTGACCTGAATTTGAAGTGATCAAGTCTAATATTCTGAGTAGAGACACCACCCCAAACTTGGATGTCATCCTACGAGAACTTCTGAGAGAAGAAACAAGGCTTCACTTGGTCAACTATTGGTGTGAAGCAAGATTTGGGGGCAGAGACTGTTTTTTTGGCAAATAGACCGAAGCCCAAGAAGGATCTAAGGTATAGTGTTATGAATGTAAAGAGTTTGGTCATGTAGTTTTTCATTGAAAAAGGAAGAACACCTGCACCAACTGTAAACAACAGGGATGCATTATAACTGAATGCTTACATGTCCACCCAAGGAAGGTACGTCTAGTTACAAGAAAGGCCAGTATAAAGCCTATCAGACAAGTGTTGAAAATTCAAATGGTGGGTTGTCTAATGAGTCTTCACTTTACTGTTCTTCACCCAGTCACCTTTGGATAATAGATTCTGGTGCCTCTAATCACATGACAAGGGCACATTCTGGTCAGTACCTAAAACCTCAGTATCTTAATAAATATACCATTACAGATAATGGTAAGAAATTAGCAATTACTAGTTGTAGTGATCTGTCTTTACATACTTCAGCTTCTTCTCAATTTCATTTCCCCAAAACCCTTCTTGTCCCTGAACTTACTACCAATTTAATCTATGTTGGACAACTTGTTGAGGATGGTAATATTGTATCTTTCTCGCGTGATGGTTGTTTGATTTAGGACCAACACACTGGGACAGTGAAGGGGAAGGGGTGTAGACTTGATGGTTGTTCACTCTTGAATTTGAGAAGACACCAACTTCCTTTTGGGTGGAGGTGACTAGTATAGCTATACATCTCATCAACATGTTTCCTTCATCAATCCTTGGTAACATTTCACCCTTTCATAGTTTAATTCATTGCCTGCCAGACTTCTCATTCCTTCATGTGTTCAGGTGTGTGTGCTTTGTTCATCTTCCACCTCATGAGAGGACTAAACTCACCCTATAGTCTGCCATGTGTGCCTTCATGGGGTACAACTCAGATCATAAAGAGTTTCTTTATTATGACCCTCAAGCCCGTAGAGTCAAGATTTCCAGAAATGTTGTGTTCCTTGAAAATGCATCCTTCTTCAGTCATATTGCAAAACATCCTGCTCCTTTTATCTCAGTTTTTTGTTCCTTTGACACTGCAGGTTCTTTGGACTCTTCATCGGCCCTTGCTCCATCTCTTCTTTAGTATATTAGAAAGTGAACAATTGCTCCAATGCCCACTGCCCTGCCTCCAACACTACCAGCTCAAGGTCCTCCTGAAATTGTAAGTTCTCTACCTGCCTCTTCTTCTGAGATTCTTCATCCTCTTCTCCACCCTTACGTCGTTCTACTCATATTTCTAAAACCCCCTAACCATTATGGTTTCTATTCATCCCACAGCTATTTTTCTGACATTTTACCCTCTATATATATTCCTAAAACTCACCAACAGGCCATGGCTGCTCTGCATTGGAAACAAGCTAAGGATGTCAAAATTCAAGCTCTTCAAGAGAATGACACTTGGAATTTGGTTCCTGCTCCTCTGGATGCTTCCATCATTAGTAGTAGGTTCTACTCAGTGAAGTGGAATTCTGATGGCAGTCTTGACTGGTACAAAACTCGTTTGGTGGAAAAGGGGTACAAGCAGGAGTATGGTATTGATAATGAAGAGCCCTTTGCCTCAGTTACCAAAATGACAACAGTTCGTGTTGTACTTGCAACCTCTGCTATAAAACAATGGGATATCCATCAGATGGATGTCAAAAATGCTTTCTTGCATGGTGATCCTACTATGGTCTATTGTCTTAAGAGATCTCTATATGGTCTCAAACAAGCTCCTCGAGCTTGGTTTAAGAGATTTTATTCTGTTATTAGTAGAATTTCTCCAAAGCCCCTTAAATTACTCACTTTTTATACATATCAGACCTCAAGGAATCACTCTCCTATTGTTGTATGTGGATGATATTCTTATCACTGGTGATAATCATGCCAATATTACTCATCTGAAGAATCTTCTCAGTCAATCCTTTAAGATGAAGGATTTTGGTTCTCTTACCTACTTCCTAGGCTTGGAGGTTTCTCGTTCCTCTCAGGGCTATTTTGTAAATCAGCATAAGTATGTGACTGATTTGGTCAAATTGGCTCATCTTACCAATGGCAAGCAAGCCGATACACCTCTTGAGAATCTTAAGTTGTCCAAGGATGATGGTTATTTAACTTTTTCCAGATGCTACCTTATATCGACAGCTAATGGGCAGCCTTATTTATCTCACCATGACACATCTGATATCTCATATGTTGTCCAAGTTGTTAGCCAGTTTGATTCTTCTCCTCACCAACCACACACCAGTCATTCTTTGCATTATCAGATACCTTTGGGGGACTCTATCTCATGGATTATTTTTCTCTCTTCATCATCCCTTGATTTGACTACCTATGCTGATGCTGATTGGGCAAGATGTCAAGACACAAGAAGGTCCACAACTGGGTGGTGTGTTTTTCTAGGTGACTCTCTTGTTTCCTAGAAGTGTAAAAAGGAGAAATAGTATAAGAAAAATATAGAGTTCATGTTAAAGTATAGAAAATCAGCATATTAATGAGAACAAAAAGAAGGAAAAGAAAAATAAAAAATATAGGGGCTGAACCCTTATTTTTGTTATAGGAAAGGGAAGAAAAAGTAAAAGTAGTAGTAGTAGTAGTAGAAAATGTGTTGATTAGAAAATGTGTTGATTAGACAAAATTTTAAGTTCTTCCTTACTTATTGGTTCAGGTTTTTAAAGTCCTTGAGGATTCAATACAGTATTTAGCAATATTTATATTGATTAAACCTTAACAAATAAGAAAATAATAAAAAGAAATTAGTATATGAACACACAAAATAAATATTTTAGTTTAATAGTGCTTATTTTATAATTATAATGTCAAAAAATAAAGAATAAAAAAGTATTTTATAATACATAGTACAAAACTGCTTGGCAACTAGGCGAGGCAAGCCTCAAAGGGCATCTTGTCACCTAGGCGTTGCCTTGACAACTATTCTCTAATCCTATGTTCCACGAACGTACAAAGCATATCGAGGTGGATTGCTACTTCATTCGTGATCAGCTCCTAGCAAGCAACATCTCTCTTCCTCACATCTCCTCTAATCTTCAATTTGCAGATATTTTTACCAAGGTTATGACTCGTCCTTGCCACAAATTTTTGTCTGACAAACTGATGCTTCTTTCTTGACATTAGTTTGAGGGGGGTGTAGAGAATCTTTGGGCTGATCTCTTGGTGGGAGCACCATTTTATTGTGTATCTTATGTACATAATAATTGTTCTTTCTTGTACTTGTGGAGGACAAAATTGTCCTTTCCCACCTTTTGTACTCTAAGAGTATATCATACAATTTTTTTGGGGTGTGCGGTGACTATGACACACCCTTTCCATTTGGTTTTCTCACTTGTACTTATCTCTGACAAATATTTCTCTAATCTTGTTTTGATTAGCACTTGGAAGAGTTTGAATGGCCAAATATCCATTACGAAATTCAAATTCAATAATTATTTAGAATGGGCACAATGTAGCTGCAATTGTATTGGGGTCACGACAAGCTATGATATTAATTGGATCTAAGAGCCAAACTAAAAGAACTAGTAACTTGCTAAGTGTATGCAGGAAAATATCATGGTGATGGCTTTAGTTCATCTTGTATAACTACAACCGAGTAAAAACTATCTACTAAAGAGAACTGCAAAAGAAATACGTGACTGAAACTATCTATCAATTTTAACTACAGTGAATAATCTTAATCAAGAGGACTGGTTATATTTCTCTACATAAAAGTCATTGTGATAGGAAGTTGATCATTCCAAAATTATAGAATAGGAAAATGCAAGGAACATCACAATCATATAAAGATGGTGGAAAGGAATTGTTATTATTTTTAACTCTTGCAGGTTGTAACCTGACTTAGATATTACCTTCCAATATACTAACTCATAATGCTATTACTTTATCATACATAGTGAAGAAAGTATGTGTGCAATCTTATAAAAGCCCACTTTTGATCATTTTACACTTGTTACAGCCAGACCAAAGAGAACCGAAGTGAGTAGTATAGAAGAAAAGGAAGAAGTCATCTATGATCATTGCAAGAAACCCAAGTATACTTGTAGACATGTTGGAATCTCAACCTCACCTTACACCATAGATGTCAAGGCAATTAGGCACAAATAGAATGTCACTCCACCCAAACAACTCAATGCCTCTAAGGTACATGCCCAGGTATAAATATATAACATTTTGATCTTTTTAGTTAATTTATTAGTTCTAGTCAATATCCAGTCGCAATCTGAATTTGATTCAAATCCAATATAAATATGATCAATAAGATTCAATTTGAATCTTGTTGTTGAGATGGGCTTCAATTGGGTGCTTTTATGTTAAGTTATTTTCTTTTTTGCTATTGGGATTTATGTCTTTTTGGGCCACGATCCTCACTCTTCACTTTTCCTTCATCTCCTTATTGTTGCTGCCCTTGTTAAGGGCATGGATGTAATTTTCTTTATTATTACTTCAGTTATTATATAACACAGTGGGACAGCACATTGCTTCTTATGATTTGATCTTCTCCCAAACCTACCTGTCTTCTTTTCTTCTCCACTCTTCCCTTCTTCTCATTTACTGTTTCAGATCTGATTTTCCATTCTTGGATAAGGTTTTATCACTTTTCAGACCTTTTTAATTACCTGCCATCTTGGTATTAGAGCAACTTTTTTTATCCATCTCTTCCCTTTTTTCTTCCATTCAAATCTTGGATCAACCAACTGCAAGGTGTGCCAAGGGGCTAATCAAAATCAATTTGATTGCCTGGTCTCTATGAAGATTTTGGAGAGTTATTGCGGTAGATTATTGTGCCTGAGGGAACTCAGAGAAGCTGCCCAAAATCAAGAAGAAACTAGATAACTTTTTATTGAAGACCAAAGTGGCTAATTGAATATGGCACTCCCACTCAGATATTTTAGTTTTGTTATTGAGATCAACAACTATTGATGGGGAGAATTTGCTGTCTAGAAAGATCAACTATAGCTTATCCGGTTTCTCTGGTGTAGGACATATCCCTGTAATCAATCACTACAAGTGATCTAGGTCTGTGAATCCTGTTCTCTAAAATAGTAGTGATTAGAAAAGGATAAGAATTGACTCTTGCCTCCATGGAATCATTGGGAAGTGGTTTGAAGCAAACCCTTGATCAGACTCTTATCCTTGAGAACAGTCCATTAAAACTTATATTGGTGGTCAATCTGCATTACATATAATGGGGGTCTACAGAACCAACTTCCATAGACCCTCTTCATGCCAAATGACTGCAAGAAAATTATATGGTGATGTTGTGGACTTGTCACCAGAGTTGATGAGAATCATGAGATACATCTTTTAGATGCTTCTTGTCACCGGACTAGACATCTTGGTTCTGCTATGTTCACCAAGTTTACAAATCAAATGATGCTTTAGCATATCTGTTTGATTTCTCTTTTTATTATATCAGTTCTTTATTTCTAAGATTGTTTAGCTACGTTAGGGTTTCTCATGTATTGGTGTTAAACATGATACTTACTGGATACTGCATGAACACTTCTAAATGTACTTTTATAGCATTAACACTTTTAAATACGAAAAATCATGCATTTAAATGAATTAATACTATGAAAAGCCATACATGTAGAAATTACCCAAAAAAAGCTATACATGTTAGAAGTTTTATTAAATTTAGTAAGACTTAGATCAAGTGAAATGACACTTAAACAATGAGATATAAAACATAAGTATATTGCATGGAAACCCATATTTGTGTCAAATAATTTATAGAAATGGAGTCATATCCCTAATTCCTGTACTGGTGTTCCTATCTGAATCTGGCATTATAGGAGATTCTTAACCTATATTGTGAAAGTTGTCAGTAGGCTAGCCATCATAAAACAGGTTTCTTGTAGCAGACCACGTATGGATGAAAAAGATTTTTTAGAATGAATTGAATTGATTTTATCATTTAATTTATCAATATATAAAAATAATTCCAACATCACATGCTAAGTATGGAACATACTTTTTTTTCAAATGGCATTAAGAAATGGAAAAATAAAAACCAAAAATATTATGAAATGGAATGGACATGTCGGGCTCTATGTGAGAACTTACTCCCAAGGGTCGTCTCCAAGGAGAAGTACATCATTCTCCCTGTCGACAAATACAAGCTGCCAGCCTGATCTCAGTGGGTCCTCCAGTTGCTCCTCAATCCCAAACATCTGACCCAGCTCCTCTCGTAGCTCATGATAGCTACTGAACCGGGAAATGTCAAGCGACCTCCCAACTGAGCCAGATTTATAGACCTAAACAAAGTTCAAACAACATTTAGCACAAAAGGCTTTTAGGAAGTTAAAAGTACTTTGCATCTCCCGCTCTTACCTTGACAAAAGTTCTAGTTGGAGGGTCAACTTGACCTGCACTATTCAGCAAATCAGATGAATTCTCCATGCAACCATACAGAGAATTCTGAAAACCAGAACCTCCAAATGGCATAGAGGATACATCAGGCTCAACTGAAGAGGAACCAAGATTGGGCACTGAAGTGGGGAGTAGGAGTGGAGAAGAATCAATATTAACACCAAAAAGAGTATGATTCTGGGGATCTCCACTACAGTTGTCCAAATCCACAGCACCACCTTTTACAGGGAAGGTTGGGAGGGGTACTGGGTTAGTGAATGCATTGGTTTGTGAATAAGGAAACTTTTGACCCCATGCTTGCTGCTGTTGTTGCTCACTCCTCATGGACTGACCAACTCTTGTGAAGTTCAAAACATTGCCACTCCCTTCAGAAGACACTGAACCCAACATACTTTGCATGCATGGAGTTACAGGTGCTGGGAAGGTTATGCTTGAATCAGTGAAATCTGGTTTCAGACACAAGGGAGTTGCCAATGTAGATCGCTGCTGCTGAAGCTGATTATTTGCAATCTGAAATGTCTCTTGGTAGATTTGTTGCTGTTGTGTCTGCAGATTCTGCTGTTGATCACTAAATGGCTGCTGCAAATGTTGCTGCACAAGGTGCCGAGGTTGACTATCCAATATGTTTTGGTTTTGTTGATGAAGAATAGGCTGAGGGACTGTTTGATTAATCATTTGCTGCTGCTGCTGCAACAGTGGATTAGGCCTGTATGATTGTTGAAGGTACTGGAAAGGCTGCTGCAATTGTAGAAATTGTTGCTTCAGAGGATCACCACTTCTTATATCCTGCAAGGCTGCTGCTGCCATGTTATGGTATTGATGATCATGTTCATTTCCTAACAGTGAGGTATCAACTCTCTGATGCATCCAGGGGCTCACACCAAGTGCCTGAAAATTCAGGGATTGGAGACCTCGCTCTCCAGTTTCCCCTCTCAGCCACATTAAACCATTAGCTACATCATCTTTATTATCTGAAACATAAACAAAAGAAAAAACATCAACACAAAAATATGAAATCCAGGCAGTGCCACAGCAACCAAATTTGTGTTATATTGTTAACACCTTTAATAAAAATAACAACAATATCAAATTTTAAAGGCATCCTGATCAACTCCAGTGAAGCTCATTGGATGACCCAGTCCGCCCATGTGTTCAAGCCCATTATCAAAACCGTCCAATATCCCAACCAAATTATATTAACAGTCCAAACTTTCAATTTCTTTTCACCTTTTTTTATTTTAATCTAAAATGCCCAGAAAGAAGGTTTTAGTGTGGACACATGATGATATAATCCTGACATTTTTTGAACCAACCAAAACTATCTTGTCATATCAAAAATTCCTCAATCGCTTAGCAAATATCAACCAACAACCAGATGATCAAACCCACTCTCCAACAATAATGATGTGTTTTGGTAAATAATAAAAACAATGTTTCATACAAGTACCTTACATCATGGTTTCTGAACCATCGTTGATCCGGAAGGTCAGACTATTCGGCCCGGGAACCAATCAGGGACTAGTTCCATTTTGAGCCCAAACCACTATTTTGCCAAAACCCGTTAAATTGGTCACCAACCCACTGACCTGGGCATCTAACCGTTGACCCTTTCAACCCAGACAGCAGTTTTGGGCTATTTTTTTAAATTGGCCGAATCCGTTTGAACTGGACAATCAAACCACTGACCCGGAAACTGGTAGCCAAATGGACCTGGTTCCAGGTCAATTTTTAAAGCATTCCCTTGCATTACCATTTTCTCTCCTCTCTCATAAACATGTGTACATAATACACACACATATACATGGGGCTACATAATGGGGGGTAGACCATCCCCCCATTCCCTTAACCCCAACCCTAGTGGCAGTGGGATTTGATCCCAGGTCTCTGCTACAATGTGTCAGATATCCTACCAATTGAGCCACCATAGCTGGCAAAAACATGTGCATATAGATCCATACAAATATATTCAAACGATTCCCCATGTTCTCCTCAATCCTTTGTTCATGGATTAAAAGTTCTGCCAAAATGCATTGTCACATAGTTAATATAAATCCCCTCTTTCTAGACATCTTTTAAATAAAAAGAAAAATCTTGGATGTCATTATTAATTAGATGAAAGTCCCATACAAAGTAGTTATGGAGCTGATGCTGACTAAGGATGTGAAGACATGGCAAATCAAGAGGGTCCCTGTTTGATGAAGCACAGGGTTCCTCCATGTACCACATATAGGTAGAAGGTGACCGATCTAGAGAGCCTTTCTTAACTGACTTGATCAACAAACCATTCAACATGATACATAAACACATAAGTACTATAAATTTAAGGACCAAATCCCTCAAACACCAACCAAGACTCATGCCTACTCGAAAAGGGGGAAATCAAACTTATGTAATCACCTTGGTGGTATTGGAATTATGACATCATTATAACACCACCCAGACACTTGTAGTACAACCATAATAAACATAAAAGAACAGCAACATGCAAAATGCACATAGATATCAAGATTTCTGAGATAATGTTTATCTCAACATAACCATTAAGAAATCCAGGTGGTTTGAAGAACCACTCTGTAGCAACACCTTTCCCATTAAAGATAGTTAATTTCTATTGTAGGCAAGCTACTTCTTTACTTTGACAAACTTGAATTTACTACTTCCTCAGGGCTAATACCTGAGAGGGAAAAGTTGGCTCAGATTCCAGAGGACCCATTGTGACAAGGGACCCCTCATAACCTACCACATGTTGCGTATCCAAAGTATTGATACCAAATAATTGGATGATTCACAACTGAGAAAAGACCTAAATAATGAACCGGTGTCCTAAGGATGAGTTATAATAATTTGACTTTGGGGTTATATCCAAAGCCCTTCAAGAGTTCACTAACTTCCATCCATTCTCCAAGTGTATGGACATAAGCACAGATGATATCAAGTTTCAACATGATTATTGGCTTGCTTGATCTTATGCCAAAGGCAACTTAGCTAAGCAAGAGGTTCAAAGACAGTTTATGCATTGGGCACAATTGTAATATGGGTTGGGTAGCTTGCCTTGTATTAGGCATACTTGTTTGTTCACAACTCCTTGTTGTACCCATGGTTTCAAATGCCGCGACATTTCACTAATGTCGCCCAACATATGTCGGGGTTGAGGCTCACCGACATGAAAATGGGTGGTAATATAAAAATTACATTATTTCGGTCGACATTTCCTATATTTCGGAAATGTTGACCAAATCGGTCCAAATAACCAAGAAAAAGACAATTTTTCCTATTATGTCGACAGGCATGTCGACTAACGTACAGCAATAGAATAATGTTTTACAGCAATAAAATATAATGTATTATAAATTTAGTATTAAATTTATTCAACTTTATACTAATCATAATTTATTATAAATTTAGTATTAAATTTATTCAACTTTATACTAATCATAATTTATTATAAATTTAGTATTAAAAATCAGAATAAATGTATTTTTATTTACTAGTGTGAAATAAATATATTAGAATTTATGATAAATCAGAACTAAAAATAAGAAAAAATCAGAAAACCTTGTACAAACATCAAAATGCATAATAAATCAGTATATAAGTTAAAACTTATTAAAATAGTATATTATTTAAATACATAAACAATATACTACAAATATACATATATTTATATTATATAATATATATTTAAGAACACTAATACCCATTATGTTAATATAAATTACTCATATTGACACATTTAAACTTAATATTTAAAATAAAATATTCATAAAAGTTAAAGAAATAAAAGCAAAAGAAAACTAGAATATAAAATAGGCATGCATATAAAATGTTTATTTATAGTAATAGAAGTATTAAATGCTTAACGTATAATTTAATTCTTACTATTGATTAAAATTTATAATAAATCAGAATTACACAAACAAAATTAGGATAACTAACCTTGTAACATGTCAAAATTCATAATAAATCAGTATATAAATTTAAAATTTATTAAAATGGATGAATATATTATTTAAATAAGTAAACAATTAAATTTATAATAAATTATGCAACTTAGGTGTTAATTGTTTACTTTTGAAGTTTATATAGTACAACTTCGTCATTAACTAATTTATTATTGATCTTAATTTCTTAGCTTTATATGATGGTTGGGAATAAGATAATAGTCTAGAAATATGCATTAATGCTTCTTTTATCATTTTACAAAATATCATTGCAAATTTCCACATATTTCATAATATTTCCACAATGTCCCTAATTTTTACAATATTTCCCCTCGACATTTCCGACATATGTCATATATTTTGGTAAGCGACATTTCTGACGACATCGACATTTTAAACCTTGGTTGTATCTTCTTCTTTAATCATTAATGAAATTGTCTTTGTGGTTGCTGATCAAAAAGTTTAATGCCAGAGACCAGAGAACAGAGAATAGTGGGACCCTAACCCACAGACATGTGGGAGTGCATGCACGTTTTCTTTTCATGTGAGGATTATGTCTTGTGTGCATAGAAAGACAAAATATAACTTGAAAAGAAAGATGAAACCAAAACACATACCATGAAGAGAAGATACACCAGGATGCCAAGGTCTTTTCAGCCTGAGGGGGAATAATGATGGGTACATGGGGAAAGTTGTCAAAGGTTCAATTTCCCACAATGACACTCTTGGTTGTCTCTCACCTGCTGTTGACTCGTCCCAACCAACCTGAACTTTTAACAAGTCATAAACTTGTTACAAGTGTTTGCACTAAGCAAACTAAATGTTCAAGAAGCAAAATATTTGAATTTGAACATAAGAATAAAGTCAGCTACCAAATTTATCCAGCTATATGCAAACATTAGTAAAAGAAACAAAAAGGATTATTTACCCAGAAATAAATCTAAAGAAATATTCACTGGATGCCTTTCTTTTTTTACCTCTTTGCTTCTTATTCTCTTCTTTTTCCATAAGGGTGAATGATCATAGACCTAATGGTTGCAGTATAACACTTAAACCAAAATGACTAAAGGATCAATTTAAAGATAGTTTTGACGTCCCACTGATTTAGAAATTAGAACTGACCAGATTCAATGAGTGCCTCCAACATGCACATATGATTATTCTATATTTCTTTTGTACTAAAAGTAAATTCATGGTTAAAGTTATGTATATAATATTTTCCAAGGGTTCTTTAGTTATAGCAGGTTTATTGTCATTATTGTTTTTGATTCTTGAACATGATGGAAAAAAATCTTACAAGTCTACATTTGTTACTTCAGAAGCACAATTAGCTGACCTTCTTACAAAGGGAGTCCCTAAACCAAAATTTTAGCAATATATAAGCAAGCTGGGCATGACTAACATTATGCTTAGTTTGGGATAGTGTTGAGTAATATTAGGCTGTAGGAAGTGGGAACATTGTCAACCTGCAGTTTATTTTTTATTTGTTATTATTAGTTATTGGGCTGATTGTTTATGGGCCTACTTGGACCATTTTTTATTCTTTTTATTGTTTCTGCTTAATGGGGCAGATTGGTAAAATTAAGTAATGTTTATAATCAGTACGATTATAAGTGGGGACAGCTAGATAGCCCACGATTTCCTCTTCCCCCTCAACCTATTCCCTTCTTTTTTTCTCCTTTCCCCCAGTCTAAACCCTTTTATCTTTACTTTTTGTGAATAAATCTCTGATTATTTGAAGAAATTATTGCTGGTCTGAACATGATCAAATTGACTTTTTTCAAGATTTTATTAATCTGATGGGATTTCTCAAAGCAGGTTTCCCAATAGAGAACCAAATTCAGGTATTCAACACAGACAGAGAAAATTGTTCAGTTTCTAATTGATAACAGGCAAACATAATTCAAAACTTTTTTTCTGCAAGGAACCAGTCTGAAATCTACATCTTGTATAATCTTTGACTAAAGAAAACATATATGAACCAGCTATTCTACTGCAGAACAGATGTATGAAATAAAATGTCATGGATGGGCTATTACATATAGTAGGAATGCAACAACAAATTACATCAGGCTATGTCAGAGAAATGTGAAACAAATGGTTACCTTGACAGAGCGCCAATGAGAATTTGGCCAACGTGCAGGATCTAAATCACTTATGCCAGTTATAGTGCCCATGTACCTAATGCAGTCATTCAGATCAAAGAATTTGTATCCATTGACAAGCAGGATAAATATGTCACCGAAAAAGACAACCATGAAACCTTTTATGGAACTAATATCACCATTACTTAATAAGCTCATGGGAGTTGTAGATGAACTACCACTAATATAAAAAATTCCATGTACATACTAGAATTTAAAAACCAAGACAGTAGACTGTACAAAAAAAGTAATGGATTTCAAGTATCCAATGTACTTTTACCAAAAACAAGTATTCAATGTACACTAAACTAAAACAATACCTATAAAATATAAAATTTACACAAAAATAACACGCCAAAACATCAACTTATTAAATATGACTTAAATGAAAACATCAAAACAATACCTACGAACACTTGATTCCTCAGTCTCAAATAGCATCCGAAAACGCATGCCAACAGAAACACGAGTGTGATATACTGCCTTAACAAACTTTGACAGGGGTATCACAAACTCAGATGGACTAGCCCTGAAAAGAAAAGCTATTAAGAATAAAAATGAAGTAAATAATGCATCACTAGAAACAAAGTATTGCAATTAACACAAAATATTTGGATATTAGTTGCTACCTTGGATTATAAAAGATTGTGAAACGGCTGTTAGTAGCAGCAGCATGGGCTGCAGCAGCAAGGAGTCCTATATGCATACTATCACTTGATAAAACCGAGGATGGCATTACAGTTTGTGGTCGATTGGCACGGCGAATTCCCAACAGAAGCTGGTTCTTTTCATTCCTAGTGCAATAACAGATATTTTTGACATATCAATGGAAATTAATAAAGGCCATTAACCAATGTTGGTCCTAGCTATCAGGGGTCTAGGGAGGGGTAGTATCAATGGTAATTATATTAAAAATTACAAATTCAAATGAAAAACATAAAGAAAGCAAATACCAAATAAAAAGAACAGAATCACCAGCTACAAGTCTCTTGGCACTGACAAATACACTCCATCCTGTGGTAAGAAGATGCCTTTTGGGCTGTCCTGCATGATAAACAGCCATATAAGACAATAGGAATATGTATGGTAGGATTAAATTTATAAAGTTTATATTTTCCTATACAGGACCAGTAAATGCAACTTCAGATAAAACTCATTTACTCGGCATCCATAGCACTATCATAAATTGCAATAAAATAAAGATAAATCCTTCTCTAACATGTCATACATCTGATCCATTGTGTGCAAATGTTAAAATCTTACAATTTACAATATGATTCATGACTGAATTATGAATCCCAAGGGTTCCGACTTAAATCTTATGACCGAATCCTTTTTTGCAAAAATCTTGCGATTTTGTTTGAATCCTACTATTTAATTTATACATCTATGACATTTACAATTCCCGCGATTCACTATGATTCAAATAAATTCAATTTAGAATTAGTTCGTCGTAACTTCTATTGTTTTAGGTACATATATAGTAAATATGGATTAAAAATAGGGTAAAACCATTTTCTTATATATATTTAGCCTTTGTGTATAAAGAAAATGATTTTACCCTTTTGTATATATATTTAGCCTTTTTGTATATAAGAAAATAGGGTAAAACCATGAGCCATAAACCTATATTCTACTTTAGCACTTGATCTTGCCACCACAGATTGCTTCTTACTTTTCTAGGACACCAAATTTCCTCCTACACAAGTGCAAAACCCTAATGTAGATCGTCTATCATCTATTCATCAATCCCATTCCACATCTATAGGACTCTAACTTCACATGTCTATGATTGGCAAACAACACCCCTTTGCCTGGATGCTTATTCAAGTAAGCAAGCATCTATCAATAATTGCCCACTGTGAGGTCCATGGAGCATGCATATATTGGTTTACCACACTCACTACACATGAGATGTTGGGTCGTGTCATGCAGATACAACAATTTTCCTACCAATCTCTAATACCTCCCCACATCTTTTAACCATCTCCCTATCAAACGCATTACTCTTGTGGTTCTAATCAATTGAGGTATCTGCAAGTTCCACACCAAGCTTCCTTGTCTCCTGTAATAAGTCCAGAATATGCTATGTTCAAAACTGAAGATTCCATGTTTAGATCTTGTAACCTCAATTCCCATAAAGTATTTAAGCTCTCCTAGGTCCTTAATCTCCAACTCCTGATGTAATGACTTGTTAAGCATACACATCTCAAGATCATTGTTACGATAACAATACCATCAACATACACTATCAAGACTATTAACAACAATCCTCTCCTTTTTCACAAATAGTGTATGATTAGATTATGTCTATACATAGCAACACCTAACTAATGCCCCCTCAATCTATCAAACTAGGCTCTAGGTGATTGGTTCAATCCATACAATGATCGTTCCAGCTCACAAACATTACAGAACCCCATTGGCAAATCCATATACACCGTTCTTATTAAGGAACTCATTATTGACATCAAGTTGAAACAACAACCAAAAATATGTAGCAGCCCATGAAAGAAGCACACAAACTGAATGGTCACAAGAGCAAAGGTTTCCAAGTAATCAATACCATATGTCTATGTATACCCCTTTGCAACTAGTCTCACCTTATTCTCTATGCCACGATTAGCCCTGTGCTTCATGTGAATACCTATCTACACCTCGCAATCTCTTATCAGCAAGTAAATTAACAACCTCTCAAGTTTGGTTCTGCATTAGTGCATCCTACATTTCCTATTTCCACTCAAGTTTGGAGAGAGCCTCTAAATTTAAGGTACATAAATAGAGGCAAGATAGGACAAGAAAGCATGATAAGACAACAAAATGGAATTATATGAGAGATGATGGGAAAATATAGTGAGTTTTGGAAGTGCATTATCTCTTCCCCTTACAAAGTGCAACATACCTAGATCCATGTCTTAAGGTGAATTTGAGGTCTCAAGAGGAGTGACAGAGAGTGGCGTGGGTTCACTTGAAACATCAAAATCAACCATCCTGTGTTGTCACCTAAAACACTATGAGGTGTAGGCAAAGGAATAGGAGCACATAGAGGAGAAGGAATTGATAAAGGAACAAAAAAGGAAACAACACTCTCATCACCAAAGCACTCACCCTAAGGAGAAACGTCAGAAAAGAAAAGGGAAGACTCAAAAAAGGTGAACAAAGTAGGTAAAACCCAACACCCTCAAAGGAATATGAAATAGTTCACTATCTAGAAGAATAGAAAGAGGATACTACATGGAGTTTTAAAACCAATAACCCTAGAAGGTACACGATTAATATCCTTGAAACTCTTTTTTGATTTTACATATGATGATTTGATAAGGAGATGGAGAACAATTTCAGCACTACCCTCTTCCAAGAAGAAAACTATAAGGGACTAGGCTCCCCCAGAAAATGGGGTTATTAGAATGAATTTTGATGGAAGCAGTCTTGGTAATCCAGGCCCTTCTGGTATAGGAGGGGTGTTCAAAAATGAAAGGAGGGAAGTGGTTGGTATGTATTCAGGTCCATGTGGACAGGGGGATTCGGTTACAGCTGAACTGACAACAGCAATGTTTGGCAAAAGGCAATGGAGATGGGGGTGAGAAAAATGATAGTTGAAGGGGACTCTAAAGTAGTTATCAGTTGTTTAAGATAGAAAGAACAAGCTCCATGGTTTTTTAGAAAAGAGTTCAAGAAGATTAAAAGAATTACAGAAGGTATGCAAGTAGACTTTCAATGGATTCCAAGATGGGCTAACATGGCAGACCAATTAGAAAAACAGGGGGTACACAAGCAAAGTTGTTTTTGGGCTCAGATGTAATTACTAAAGTAAAATTGCATGTTACTTATTTTGTCCTTTCAAGGGTAACCGAGAATACCCTTGGTGTATCTTTTGGTGTTAATCATTAATAAATTTTCTATTATTCATTAAAAAAAAAAAACACAATTGTCAAATAGCATCCCCCCTAAGACAAACTGGAACAAAACTAGTAATCATGGTACTCCATGCTACCTCCACATTATGTCTATCCTTCCTTTCTACTACCCCATTTTGCTGAGGGGAATAATAAGTACAACTACTCTAATGAATAACCTCATGCTCCAACACTACTAACAGAAAGAAAGAATGTAGTTTGGAAACATACAGAAGAGGGGGTAAGGTAATGGTATTAAACACCCCAACAATGCCTTTACCAGCTATAGAGGCTTGTGAACCATCAGCAATGGAATCCAAAGTCACCTAAAGGAAAATAAAGAAACAATAATCTCATTATTTTGAGGAGAATAGGAAAAAAAATCTTGTTTTTCCTTTGCAAATGTGTTGTGTCTTTCTATACTTCTTTTGTTTTTTGAAAAAACCGAGAACCATTCGTTTGTGTTAGAAAACCCACTCATACATTTGTTCATTGTTCAACCTAAAACTGAAAACCTCCTCATCACTGTTCTATTATCAATGGCCAAACTACCCTTTTGAGCATATGGCTAGATAACTGACTAATGCTACTAAAGACTAAATACTTCTACAAAAACTCACAACCACCAAATCTCCACCATTAGGTTAATTCAGCAAAACCATTCGATCTTGACATGGAAAACATAGAGTATATTCAAGTTAAATTGGAATGAGAACATGATATCACATGTAAATGACACTAAGCAATGGGACCTACACCAGATTGAGGCTGAAGGGGACTCTAAATTATTAAATCAGATGGATGCAGTCACACAATTTGGGGGTCTGGGTACATCAACAACTCATGAGGAAATTAATTTCCCTAGCGATGAAGGTTGGGGTATTGTTCAGGTGGAAAAGGAGGCCAGCAAATGGATTAGCCAACACCCTAGCAAAGCAAGGAACTTTCAGGGAGAACTTGTTTTGGGCTGTTCTGTATTTCGAAAACTTTAAGGGTCAACACCCTTATCTTGGGTGGTGACAGTGTATTCTTTTAAATATTAACTAATGAAAGTTACCGTTTCTGATTAAAAAAAATGTAAATGACACAACATTTAACTAATGGAGGGCCTATTTCTGTCAAGTAGGGCCATCCAACAAGATAAGTTTAAGTAGTTTTGGAAACCACACTGTATATTTAAGTAACTAACCCTTGTTTTTATTAATAAAATTTTCTTTTTTATTTATTACCAACAAATGGTCCACAAAGGGATGGATTTTCAGTTGATTCATTCACTTGGTAATGAAGATCCAAATTACATAAAAATTGCTATCTTTCTGGCTTCCATTTCTTTCTTCAGGTTATTTTTGTAAGTGTTTATTACCAACACACTAATATGAATTTAGCACTTAATAGGATGGAAGAAAGATCAACAGGGTAGGGAAACCTAGATAGAATTAAAGTATGGAGCAGGGTTTATGTAATCAACTTGAAATAGTTGATAACAGTGTCTGATTAACAATGACAAGTGACATCATCATTTCGGTTTGAAAGGTCATGACTAAACAACATTTTCCTTAGAGTGGGAATAGAAGGAATGCAACTAAAAGTTTCTGGAAGAAAAGACCTTAGGGACATTTTCAATCATGCAAGGAGAAATACCCATCTAACATTCTTCACCAAATGCAAAGTAGTCCTCATCGATGTATTATTTGGTAGCTGTTATGTAGGAAGCAAAGAAAGCACACCAACTTGAAAATAGATCAATGTCCAATTCTTGAAAATTGCATCCAACGCTGAAGCTAAACATACCTCGGAAGATATGCCTAAATTTCCATTCAACATCATGGAGATCTCTTGCAATGAGTTCTTGAGCTGGTGGCTGCTGTGAGAAATCCTTCAAAAGAATCAATGGAGAAAATAAGAAGCATTATTATTCAATCAGACACTAGCAACAGAACAAAAATTCCACACAAGAAACCTACAAGTGGAGGGAACACTTTCTCAGCAGCACGACGAGGAACAGAGAATCCTCCATGAGTACTAGTATCACTTGCCGTCAAAGTCTTGCAAAAATAATTAGTGGGCTGCTTACTCGGAACACCAAGCTCGGCAGGGAGGTAAGTTTCCTTTTGCTCTTCCTGAAGATGTTAGAAAAATTAATAAGTTGTTAATTTAAAACAAACAACCAACTGAAAAGAAACCATATAACATGAAACTCGGTCAACCGGTGTCAGAGGCTGCAATGTCATTTGGGCATACACTTCATCTGTTTCCACATCTGCCTGAAATTCCACAGCAACCCATCTTTAAAAAACTGCTTTCCAACCATAATACTTCAGAAGTAGTCAATTCAAAGAAAATTTGCGTTTCTTCATAATCAAAAACCAAACAGAAGCACAGAACCCACATGCATTGTAACATCGTGGAGTTGACAAATCAGTTGTGGCGGCAAGTTCGGATAATTGGGTATGTGACTGTCAACTTCCTTGTTAGTAGAGGCAGCAACCTGAGTGCAGAATTGGGGTCAAAGAAGAAAACCACATGAACCACTAATACCAGAAAGAAAAACTAGATATAGCATACCTGTTCACTGTGACCCTGAGGAAAGTAGACAACGCGGGTACCAACGGTTGGTAGTGAAACAAGAGGCCCGGCACAAGCATGCCAAAGTTCCGAATTCAAACATCTCTTCTGCCCTATCAAAAGTTCCACACCAATGGTTATCACATGATTGCATAAAGAGGCCACCACAGAACTACAGCATTGAATTCACAGCAAGAAAAAGAGGAAGAGGGAATAGCACCTTCTTGACCCTGCTGAACCATTCCTGACGTCGAAAGTTTCATCTTCAAAACCCCTAGCCTCAATAAACCTCACTCAAAGATGTCGAAATCTTCTTCCCAAGTCTGCTCCCTACTGCCACTATAATTCGGTTATCCATGGAAAAAAATCTACTCTTGAATTTAGTAACCTGAAGCCCATACCAAACATTACCAACTTCTAGCTCTCATGCATCCACATTCCACTACTCCAGAGACCAGAGAAAAATCTAGAAACGTTTGAGCCAAAACAAAGCAGAAAGGAGAAAGGAGAAAGGAGAAACTCCAGAGCTAGATAATATCCATGAAGAAACTCGGCCCCAGCTCAAACGTCAGAAAATCTCCAATCTCAATTCCACCAACATTCCTTCCATTTCCAGGAAATTATCACGGTTTTTGCAACTTCAAGATACCATACAGCATACTCATCGAAGAGATCTCAGTCACGCAACCATACTGTCTCTCTCACCACATTGGGAATTCGGAACACAGCGCAACCAAGGTTAAAAGCTGCTTTCACCAAGTTCAAACGGAAATCAAGACCAAATCAGAACGAAAAGGACACAAGCACTGTCTGTCTTTGCCCATCCAACTCAGAGATCGTGCATTTTTACTCAGCAAGACCCCAAATCCCCAAAAAGCCGTGAAAAGAAAACAAAACCAAGCTTCACCCTAGCAGCTCGCTCTCCCAGATCGCCATGAAAGAGCTTTTCCCGAGCTCCTCCTCATCTTTCCCTTTCTCCCTGCAAAAATATCTCCGCTCACGAAATCCGAGTGGACGTAGACAAAGAGAGAGAGAAAGCGGTCCCCTTTTCCATGGTCATCGCAATCGCTTCGAACAGAAACTCCCACTGTAGTAATGAGAGAGAGGGGGGGAGATGGCTGGTCGCTCCGTTGGCATTTTATATATAAGGCGGACGCCACGGAGAGGGGAGAGGGAAGGAAAGGGACGAGACGTTGCAGGTTTCGGTAATTCCGATCCCGACCGTCCGTAGTTCCGTACGAGGAGAATCTCAGCCGTAGATTATAGCTGATGCTTCTGACTGACAAGACGGGGTGGCATGTGCCTCTGCACCTTTAGTAGTCGCTGTCAGTGTACGGACTCAAAGAAAGCGAGAGCCCTGTAAATAAACCTCTTAAATAAATAATATCATATCGCTGTCAACTTTTTCTCCCTCATATTTCTATCTATTCTATTTAATTGTTTTTTTTTTATTATTATTATTACTGAGAGGTCTGAGGAGGAGGTGAGGCTGAGTGAGAGAGGCGTCATTTTCGGAGAGACTGGGGGGTGGTAAAGTAAAATTCATCGGTTGTCTGAAAAAATACTGAAATGGCGAGTGATGTCAAGCCTGGTGGGTGGGTCCTCTCTTGCGGGTCGTAAAAATCTTTGGATTCGTGTCGGTGTAAATTTCGAATTTCGAGGTAGTAGACTAGTAGTGTAGAGTCTGTAGACTGTAGATTGTAGACTCCAGCCTCCAGCGGTCGTCGTTTCAGCCCATCCAGGCCGACCCAGAAATTTTGGGTTTGGGCCGTGTTTATAATTCCGGTCCGCCTGTAAATTTCATAGTCGGACCTGGGATGATCCCATTTGTATATATATTAAATATATAAATATTTTATATATAATGTGTATATATATATATATAATTTATATATATTATAATATGACAGTTACAATATATTTTATATAATATTTTTTTGTTGTATGGGATTAGACAACCAAGGGGCAACCCCCCCCAAAGACCAATGCAAGTGGGATTTGATCCCAGGTATCTAGTTCTGCTATAATCAATAAGAGACTTTGTCAATTAGATAGTTAGTACTTTGTGCATTTTATATTTATTAGTAAGTGTGAATATGTTTTGCATGTGGCAATTCTAAATGATGATGATAATAATAATAATAATGTATCTAAAAATTTTTATAAATTTTATGTATTTTTTTTTAATTATTAATCAGATGGGGGTTGCCAAATCAAAATCTTATTACATAAACATTGCATCCAAATATGTGATAATTGAATCGAGTTATAAAAAAAAAAAGTATCAATAACAATCTTAATTACCTAGTTGGTTAGACTCTTCTTTTTGTTTTTTTTTTATGTTTTTTGTTTATTTATCAAAAAATGTAAGATTTAAATAGAGGGAATTGAATTAGGTGAATAATTGTAGTTTAATTTACAACTTAAACCTCATAATTAAATAGGGACTAAATTTAAAAATGAGTATTTCCAATTAAAAGAAAGTTCCAAAATCGTATTCATATTTTTAATAGTAGTGTATATATATAATTATAAATGTGTTCAATTTTTTATATTTTTTGTATTAATGTGTGTAAAAATAATTTTGATATGCCATTCTTACTTTTTGTTTGATGTGATAAATATATGATATTATTATACATATGCATGATTTTTTTTTGCAAAATTTCTGTATTTTCAATTTTGTATTTTTATATTTTATTAGTTCTTATTATTTATCTATGACATTAAAAGTTAACACATTTGACCCAAAAGTTGAACTATTGATCTTTGCAAAACACTAAAATAATTTCATTTTCGGTTAGTTCTAAATTATGTATATCATTTTCATCATCGATAAAAATAATTATTGTTTATTGCACTTATTTTTTTAATTTGATTTATAAAAATATCATTAATGTGTCTAATTTTGTTTACATGCTTGTAATTTTTATATTTATTAATATTTTAAAATTTTTATTACCTAACTATGACTTCATAGCTTGATCAATTTGATTTTGATGGTTGAATTGTTTAACCACCATTTAAATAAAGAATGATTTTGTTTTAAGTTAATTTTAAAATATATTGGTTTATATTGTTAAAAATATTAATATAGATCTAATTCGTAGCATTTATTAATAAATAATAACTTAAATATAGGATTTAATAAGAGGACATAGGAGTTAATGCCTTAATTATAATAGTTAATGAGAAGGGATTAAATGAAGTGAAAAGTAATAATTGAACTAAAATTTTCAACCCTTACAATTAGAAATGGACTACATATTCAAATATGGTCATTTTAGTAGCCATTAAATCTAGCATTAAAACTATAATAAAATAACATTTATACACTTTTTTAGTCAAAAAAAATAAAGGATAATTTTAATCAAAAAAGATTCACTCTGCATCCACACTTTTATATATGGTATAGATAATAATTTATATTACATGTATATAATAAATTTATATGCATATTATATATGATTTAATATAAACTATTATATTTATGTAATATTTCACATAAAAGATGTAGGCCTAGAATCAAGCCCAAACTTAGGCCAAGTCCGGCCCAGGCCGAAGTTATAGCCTGTTGCAAAGCTTGTCATAGCTCGACCCATGATTAAGCTCATTATTATCATATTCTAATAGGTAGCATTTGGTTAGTTGGTAGAATCACAAATGAATATTGGAATTGAAATTGGAGCTACCACCTATTTGGTTCAACCAAGAATTGGAATCAAATTCCATAAGATATGCATTATTCCCAAGGAGGGTTGACCTTAGGTAAAGAAAAATAGGGTTTGGGGTTTTAACTCACTTGTCTACTTTATTAGTTTTTGATGGTTAGAATGAGATTCCCAAGGGGAAGGCTGGAATTAGGGATGGCAATTTCCCTAGTAAAATCGGGGCTCCGCCCCAAACGGAGCAGGTTTTCCCTGACCTTAAACGAGGACGGGGTGGGGACGGGTAAAATATTTTTACCTGAATCAGGGATGGGCTTTGTATATAATTCCCCAAGCCCGAAAATAAAAATAGTAAAATATCTCTAGGCTTAATATTAATATTTAAAATATCTCTAAGTTTTTCCTAAATTCCTAAAATCCTAAAATCCCATAATTCTATTTTTGAAGTAACCCCAAAGTATTATAATTTAATTCATAAAATACCCCAAAAATCTTATATTATATGTGTAAATTGTCCAGAAAATAAATAATTTTTAAGAAGTTGCCTTGGAGCACAGAAAATTCGGGGATTACCTATCTCCGACGGGGAGTGGATGGTGCCCTGCCCCAAGCCCGTCCCGTTGCCATTCCTAGTTGGAATGGTTGTTCTCTCAAATGGGAGAGTGTTATTCCACCAATAATGAAAATCGAAATCTCATTCCACCCAATCAAATGACCGGAATAGGAATCATTCTAATTCCAATTCCAAGCCCATGTTTTTACAAACCAAACAAACCCTTAGACTTGGATGAGAGTAAAATTTAAAAAACAACCCATTATTTTGATAATACTTTAACCTCAACTTTTATCATGACCTTCTAAACTCTCTCAACATTTGGGGGAAGTTGTAAAAATAGACCCCTTTCTGTTAGTTTGGCAAGCGACAAAGACATTGTATATAAGGGTGTCAATGGATCGATTTTGGATTAGACCCTGTCCAGTCCAAAAACAAATTGGATGGATTGATAGGCCAACAAGACATATTGGATTGGACCAATCCAGTCCAAAATATTTATTAGATTGGATTGGACCTGGTCCATCCGTAACAAATTTATATTGGATTGGGTTGGATTAAGCCAATATCTAGTCCATCGATATAAGATAAGAATATATGTATCAATGGACTGGATTTGGGTTGAAACCAATCTAAATCAAAATGAATTTAAACATATTGGACAATCCAGATATTGAATTGGACCGGTCCAAATTGATTCTAAACATTCATTGGATTGGATTGGACCTGGTCCATTTATAATGGACTCACATTGGACTGGATCGGATTGGACCAAATCCAATCCAATTGACACCCCTAATTGTATAAATAGACTCTTTTGGGGGAAGATGTACAAATGGACCCCTTTACTATGACCTTCTAAACCCGGTTTGAAATGAAGGAGATGATAAAATTGGTGTTATACCCTCATTATGTTTAACACCACCCACATTCACATGTACCAAATTCCTATAAACCCACTTTGCAAATTTTCACGCCTACTTTTTTCATACGTTTGCAAAAATAAACTCTTCTAACATTACAGCAATCTATCTCAACTCTACTATTTTCTAAAGATAGTGCTCATCACTCCTTTGGAGAAATTAGAGGGATTGATTTTTTTTTTTTTTTTTATAGATAAAATAACAGTACACTAGAAGAAGGAATTTGCAAACTGTTCCATACAAACTGAGGGTTGCCCCACCAATACAATCTCTCACAAAACACTTAGTTTTCTGTGCTAGGGTGTGAGCAGCTAAACTACAAAATTTTGGGCATACAACTGGGCTGAAGTCATTTTGGGCATACAAAATTTGATCGATACCCACTGGCTTCAAGAGAGAGAGAGAGAGAGTCCACAACATTGTTTGCATCAAATAAGATTAGAATGGATGCCCATTGATTATCCTCTACAATGTGAACAAATCTCTAATTATTAATATCTTACAATTAAGGGTTAAGGCTTAGTCATCCTCCAAACTTGAATCAGGTATTGGGTTTAATATACTTATAACAATTCTTCTATCATTAATATCAAATACTGTATTTTAGAAAGCACTTATTCTCCACTTTGTAAAATACAGTGCTATGTTTTCTACTGTGATAGAATCTCGGGGTGAAAATGTTTTGTAAGCCATTTTAGAAAATAGATTATTTATTAATATAAGTATATTTTGTAAAACTAATTTCAAACTCATTTGAATTCCCCTAATGGAAAATTTAGGTATCCATCAGAGAAAATATATTAACGGGTATTCTCTCTATTTGACATAGTGATAGATTTTCTCACAATGACCACCTACTACAACCTCATTCAATAAGCCTAAGTATTGATTTTAGAAGGATCCCATTGGTTGATATATCAAAAACAAATAAATATGGGATTTAGTCAAGTACTTTATCAAGTTTGAAAACTATATGCAACTATCTAAATATTCCACCAATTAGGCAGCTGAGTTGTTGACCCATTTGATATGGCCACTAAATCACGGGTTGCATATTCAATATGCAAACTTATCGACAAATTTTAAGAATAATTGATTATTAATTTATATATTATAAAAATTAACAACAATTATATTGGTTTTCAAAGAATTAGAATATACTTGCATATTCTAGTTATTTCATTTTTCAACATTTCCCAACCCCCATTGTCCATTCTTCACATAGATTTGTTTTAGGCTCAGTTTGGAAGCAGTACAAATGCAAATATGTACAGCGTAAATACATACAAAATAATGCTAAATATAAGGTTTTACACTCTAAATATTTGCATTTGTACTCCTCATTTATAGTCATCAAGACCTAGATTTAGTTTCAATGTTACAATTTTTGTAACTTATTTTAATTTTCCCAATATATCCATAAGCATTCATGGATATCCTAAATTTTTCACCATATCTATGTATATCCAAAGCGTATCCTAATTTATCTCTTAAAATTGCCTTTTTCGTACTCTTGAAACCTTAATATTGTCTTTCTCCAGCTATGTTCTGCGGTACTCATGGCCCATGTGAAATGACCTGCCACCATATTGTGATTTAATTCTGATATCAGCAATTATGTCGAGGACTCGATTGAATTCTGTATGAGCAGGCCCTATGGTCTTGATCGGTATGCGTATGCCTACCTACTTAGCAGTGCCTCCACCACAGCTTGAGAATCATCTTAGATGTGGATTCGTTGATATCTCCCCAGGCTCACTGTGTAGTCCCAATTCCCAAATAGACTTACCAGGTCTCTGTGTGTTGCATTCCATGGAGTAGATGCTCATATTGTTGGTTGGACAGGGTTCCCCTGAATCTTCCATTGTCGTGAAGCACCATTCTAAATATCAAACTTGCTCAGACCTCTCTGACCGAGACATTATCATAATTCATAACCCAGTCTTCACTTGGGCTTCTCCACTGAAAAACAGTTCTTTGGATGGAAAGTAGCTTGCAGATCCAGTGGAAAGTCTTCACAGTCGATCTCCAGCAAATTGGAAGACACTTCTGAACAAAGCCATTGTTTGCAATCATAGCTCCCCCAAAAGTCAATTTTGGAAATTCTGTTTCTCCAGAATAAACCTTAATACCTTTAAAACAAGGAGCAGAATCAATTATAGAACACTAACTTGAACCATGAAGCTCATCTTAACATATGCATGTTAAAATAAGAAATACGGAACAGAATATCATATGAAATGTGTTAGTGAAATGGCAAAGGCTGCTTTGATGGGAAATTATTCATATTTCAACAGCACCAACTGCAGCAGGAAAATGAAGAAGGGATACGTCCAGTTCTTCTGATGTATTCTGCTTGTTGTTCAGTCTTTGCAGCTTGTCTGTTTCTTTTGGCTTCTGCTGCTGCTCGCTTCTCTTCGGCTTTGTGCCTAGCAGCTGCTAGCTTGTTCATCAATTTATCATGGGCCCGGCCCCTCATTCTTTCCACCTCAACCTAAAACCATGAGCATTGGCATGAGATAAAGCTCCAGATTCATCAGTTGGGATTTCAAAAATGTCAAGATTTAAGAGCTCTTAAATAAGATTTAAAATATTCAGGTGTGGCAGTCAAACCTTTTTGACCTTTTGATTTCCTCATGGTAAACATTAAACAGGAAGAGTGTGATCAGTTGCTTATTTATTACCTAAATAACTGAACTTCTGAAATTAATTACCATGGTTGTAATCTCTAATCATTTAAAGAAGACCATAATAAGATCATGAAATGGTTATTTGGAGAAATTTTTCAGTTTATGAGAACTCTGACGATGCTAAGCTCTGACCTCAAAAACAAGAAACCAATATCTAATGCTCAAGGATGCCATAATAAAAGTGAACATAACCAAATTGCACCCCAACTACTAAGGGTGGAGTCAATGAATTTCATTGCACCCACTCCACTCTATCAGGAGATACTGTCATATTGAGTCCCCAAGTCTCTCCTGATGACAAAAACCATGTCCATTTGGGCCTTGCTCTTACTCACTCAGAGCTTTCGACTTGCTTGTTATGGGCATAGTCATTGCTTCTATGGTTGTAACAGTACCCTCAACCTCTCACCTATTGGGGTTTCCCTTGGGGTTTTGAGAATGCACTCAAATACTATCCTTGTTAACCATGCTCTTCTTTCCTTGTCTCTTCTATATTACAGGGACGTGCTTTTCTTTAATTACCTGCCATTCTATTACAACATTACTGGTCTTGTGGTTGTCTTAATTTTATTCTGATAGGTAATGGTCATTTCTTGATGGAATGGTAAAATTTTGACCTGACAAGTGTGAGAACATGGGTTCAAGTCTGAGAGAGGCCACTTTGTGCGAAGGATCAACATTGATAAATGGTCCTTTTATCTTCTAATTGGTATGAATTGGCTGCACTTCAAAAGAATATTTCCACTTCATCCACCTTGATCCAATTCAATCAGAATCAGGAATATAATTTAACCCTTGAAAACATGTAATTTATCCCCATATTTTCTTTAACATGTGAAACACTGAACCAACAGAATGGTTGTGGTATCTGGTTTCTCAATCTAGTTGTTAAGGATATAACTGGTTATTGACATTTAACACAATAGTAGGCCTGGTGCCTTGAAAAATTATGGATATCCCTTCTGTTCTAATTTTTTGTTAAGGATGTGCAACAAATTCTCTTTCCTTCCAAGCTGGTGATGTGACACATCAAAACCCTCGAGTGATTCCTAGAGAACTAAACTAATTACATGTTGTTTCTGAATTTTTTTTTTTTTTTTTTGATAAATGCATGTTGTTTCTAAATTGTTCTTCCTTTAGTTATCATTCTTGGTTCTGTTTACTACTGATTTAAGCTTACTGAAGAAAAACTCCTGGATTGATTCAGCACCCAAATAATAGGTATTATCCAAGGTTCAAGTCTACACTTAATTTCTACTTGAGACAAGAACCTAGGTCAGCATAATCATCCAATCTAGAAACCCTAGATAAACCTGATAACACAGCCATCCCCTTAGTTTCATATTGATGCACACAATCCATTTGAACCTTTTGACCAGATATCACATCTAACCCTAGTTTCCTAATTTCTATTTACTTTTTTCCTGAAACTTCAGATATTAGAAAACCTCTAATTTCATACTTGTTATACCCACCCAGTCCTATGCAAACCCTGAATTCTCATCCTAATATGACCCAATTTTGCTTTCCCAACTGAACTATTCCACTTGTACTTCATCCAAACCTATAACTTTTCCAATTTCCCTTGGTTCCTTAATTAGTCCTATACTAACTCCCCCCTCAAGGATTTATCGGTGTATGGCTTATTTCTATTAAGGAGAAGATTTCATTGGAGTTATCTCTCTATATGTGCTCTTTATTTAGAGCAAATGGTGAAACTAATTTCCATTCATCCACTTTGTCTTCTAGTACCTAGGAGTCTTTTCTGTATTTAGTTGAAGATGGGATCCCCCTGGGGACATGAGAAGTCTATTTTAAGACTCTTTTAGACCATGATAAATAGATGAAACGTTATGTGGAGATGTGCAAGGGCTGCAGTACTGTACCATGGTCCATTTGGGAGGAGAAAAATACAAGGATTTTTAAGGATGAAACTCATAACAAAAAAGCATTGGTAGAAAATATCTTGGTTAAAGTAAGCAGGGAGCTAATAGACCATCCTCATTTTGGGCAGTATTGTAAACTACTTTGCTATGGAAACTATTGTATCTTAATTTCAGATTTAAATCAATAAATGATTTTCTTTGCTGACTATATATATATATATCTTGGTTAAAGTGCTCGTTGGGTTAAATCTTTACATGATTGAGAGTATGGCAATGTTATGAGCACCCGCACCACACGGCAGCAGTTGAGGCAGCAGCGGGCACACAACCGGCACTGCACGGCAGTGGCACCATGAGCCGCGCGCACGCACCCGGCAGCAGCAGCAGAGAGGGGCCCACACGACAGCTCATAGGGTGGGCCCACCCTTATCTGGACACGTCAAGAGAACGCGCCTTATCCCCTATCCCATTCTCCCTTATCTTGTCCCCTATTCTTAGAAGGAATTGTAGTACCATTAAAAGTAAGTAGTCTAATTAGAAGTAGGAGTTTGAGTCCGTTTAGGACTAACCTAGCCGAATCCAACAAGGAACCCTCCTCTTGTAATCTCCTATTTAAGGAGACGCCATTATTGAATGAAGATATCGAATATTCAGTCAAGAAAGAGAGTAAAGGAGAGTTTGGTGATCTCTTGGACAAATCACCCTTGAGATAGTCAAAATAGGGCCTGTACGCAAGGCCAAGGGCAAGGAAAGATCTGAGGTTCCTGCGGTGGAGCGACCCGTGACGCGATCCTACGCTCAGGCCCATAACAGGCAAACCGTTGCAGTCTGTACCTCAGCAAGGAGAATAATGTATCTTACTGTCCCCATCAAACCTAAACCAAATACAGATAAACTTACTGTTGCAGCTTGGGAAATCCTAAGTGAGGCATTGGTGGTGTCTTTGCAAATGGTAATGATGTGCCATTATTATGTATTGGACTGCAGGCCAAGGAGATTCAACCAGGGCTGAATTACTAGCATTACATGTAGGATGGGATGGGGGTCCTACTAATTTAAGATCTGGCCATGAGCCTTGTGGGGCGAAGGAGGAGCTTTGGGTGATCAAAGGATAAAGAATAGAGGTAGAAAAGCAATAGATAGTTCACTGTCTACCAAAAATGAGTAAGAAATTCATTGGTGTCATTACCTCTTGGGACTGCTATGAGGCATACAAGCTTTTGTTATTAGTGATTTGTAGGAAGATGATAAAAGGCCATAAGACAAATATTTGGAAATGCAATGAGTAGTGAAAGAATGTCACTTACCATTCCTTAGTGCTGTGGGAATGTCAAGGTTAGAAAAAGGCCTGGGCTTGGAAGGGTTTTAGAACCTACCATCTCATGAGCAACTGGAAGTGGAAAATGCTTAGTGGTTACAATTGGAACAATCTTCCTGTGCCTTTGATACACTAGCAAATTCCTTTAACATTGTTAAGGAACAGTAGGGTTGGCAACAACATCAGTAGGAATAGGTGAAGGGAAATGAACACCAATAGACAAGTCAAACAGGTCTCTACCCTCACCCTTGGTAGAATCCTCAAAGAAATAGAGAACAACTTCAAAGAAAACGACATTCAAAAGCAATATTCTCAAATAACAAGATCAAAACAATAGTAGCCCTTTTGAGCAGTAGCATAACCAAAGAATACACACTTAATTGACTTGGGATCAAATTTTGACTCGTGGGGACCATGATCATGAACATAACAAGTGCATCCAAACACTCTTAAGAGGAATAAAAATCGCTCACCACAAGGATATAGAAGGCTGAATGAAGTTTTAAAACCTAAAACTCAATAAGGTACTGGATTAATGAAATAAGTAGTAGTATGCACATCTCCCGAAAAATGAATAGGGACATGTGAGGTTAACATAACACTCTAGAAACTTACAGAATGTGGCGATTTTTCTTCTTAGCAACCCCACTCTACTGTAGAAACACATTTTTTTGATAGGTAACTGTAATAAATTTTATTAGAATGAGGAAATGAATATATGCAATCATACAATCATCTCAAAGAGAAGAGTGAGCTGCCACCTCTCAAAAGAAAATAAAAAAATTGCAATTGTGCCCAATATAATTGTCCCCAATCAATCCCTTGTTTGGCTAATGAATGGACATGCTGTTGGTTAGCCAAGCCTTTCAATGTTCAAATCTTTTGCTATTTGCACCTGTTGGATTACAGCAAGGATTCCAGCCCTTAAAGAATCCCCTACACCAATTGGACCAGAGTGCAAAGTTGTTATATTACCCTCTTCATTTCTGAAAACTCCCCCTATTCTAGAAGGTCCTGGGTTGCCTCAACTACTCCCATCTAGAGATGGCAATTTGACCCATACCTGTGGGGCCCCGTCCCAGCCGGGGCAGGTTTTTTACCACTGGTCGGGGTTCAGGGAAACCTGAAACTCTAGGGATCAGGGACGGGGTGGGGATGGTATTTGTCCATCCCACCCTGACTATATTATATTACATAATATAAAATAGTTCTAGGTAGGTTTCAAAAAAATAAAAAAATAAATTTGTTAGCATACAAGTATGAATGACCAGGGTGGGGCAGGGAAAATTTGCGGATCCCCATTCCCCACCGGGGTTTGGGGCAGGACAGTTGAGTTCGGGGTTGGGGACATGGCAGGCAAAACCCAGCCCCACACCACCCCGTTGCCATTCCTACTCCCATCAAAGTTTAGTTTGATATAGTTGTTGACAGATGTATGGTATGTACTGTACACAGGTTTAGTGCCTGCAGGGGTATTTTTGTAATTTTGTAGACCTCTTGTGTTGTACAGCCAGTATAGTATAAATACAAATGCTTCACTCGCATGAAGTAGTTCTTTTGAGGCCTTAAGTCTGCAGCCTCTTCTCTTCTCCTTCTTCTT